AACTCATAATATTGAGTGTATCCACTCATATAATAATATGTAAAAAATATATAAAAAATAATAAAAAAATTATTCTTATATCATCACTTAACTTTAAAAAATTAATTTTATTAATATAAACATGTTAATTGACTGGAGTGTGCACCCTTCAAATCTCACTATTGATGGAGGAGTAGGAATGATAACGAATCCCACAAGAGTGAGGACCTCATCTCCATGAAGATTTTTGGCAGAGGTAAAAAATGGCCTCCATCTCCATATTTGCGGGAAATAATAAATTCATACAAGTATGTAGAGTTTTCGTTAAGTATTAAATATATAGAATTTAATATTATCTTTTTATAAATAAAAAAATAAAAATTTAAAACAATTCAAATAAATAAATATATTAACATATGGTGTAGTAAAGCAATATCCAATAATCAGTTGCAACAAATACACACTAACATACACATCTAATAGGTCCAACAATAAGTTCATAAAAAAAATAGATGAACTGCCATACACATTCAAATTGGGTTGGATTATAGAATTGGGTTTGGGAATACTAAAATTGAAAAAAGAATTAGGTTGGATAATTTAAATTGAGTTGGATCAACCATTTAGCTTGAATAATTAAAAATTAATTGATAATATATTTATAAATATATATATTTATATTTTTTTATTATATATAAATTTTCATAAGTCCCCACAAGATGAATGAAATTCTTGGTAAAATTTCAAAAAAAAAAAAAAAAGTCTCTATCTCCACTCTCTTAAAAAAGAGTATTCTTAAAATCTCTATTCCCATACTAAAATTTTTTGTCAAATTCACTGGGTCTCGAGGAAATGTCATTCCACAAAGAAGCGCAGAAGGTAGGGAGTGGAGCAGCCACAAAACCTGGCAAAGAGGTGGGATTTGGTGGGTTCAGATTGAGTCATTTTGGATCTTAAGTTGTATGGATTGGGTCATTTCGGGTGTCGGGTTAAAGAGGTTGACTCATAACCCATCCACATGAGTTTCGGATTAAGTCGGGTGGACTTAATTTTTAAAAAATTAAAATTGAAAATTTTTTTTATTTTTTTTAACAAAATCTAATACTAATTAACTATTTAATTAAAAAACTTTATCACTAATTAACTATTTAGTTAGAAAATTTTATTAGGCGTTAATTTCAATTTCAAAATTCAATTGTTTTTCAATCTCAAGAAAAGGAAAGGAAAATATTAGTGATTATATAGGTAAAAACTAAAATATATGTCAAATATATAATACATATACAATATTTAGAATTCATAATTTCATAAAGGT